TTTGAAATTGTTGTATATTTAGCTTCTTTGTAGTTTATTCTTTTATAATTATGACCGCCTTTTTGAAGTTGGAAGTTTGGAAGAAATGTGTTGATTTGGAATAAAGAAATAGGATTGATCATCTTACAGATTCATCAACATTCAGATTAATATTAAGGACTATAAACACTTGCAAGCCGTGGCCGAATCTGCAACAGTTTATAACTTATCAGCATAGTCTTCAGCTGATGCAAATAATGGTAGATCCTTAATTCTAGGTCTCTTGGACTTTTTCTTTGGCTTGGTACTGTCATTGTCATCCTTTTCGTTCTTCCGCTTTCTGCTTCCTTTGAAAACCTCCTTCTCTGTCTCTTTTTCATCGTCGCTACCCTCATCACTATCGCTTGCACCATCTTCTCCTTCTCCCAAGATTTTCACATCCACTTCTGAGTCGGAAAACTCATCGTCATCATTGATATTGAACATCTTTGCTTCATCTTCATCAAATTCGTCATCAAATTCGTCTTCTTCGTCACCATTAACATCTTCATCCTCCTCGTCCACATCATTTCCTGCTGAGAGCGGTCTATCAAATTCATTAATTTCCCCATCATCAAAATCTTCACCATCATCCTCTCCTTGCAGAAGCTCCACTTCATCATCATCGAAATCGGAAAAATCCTCTGGATCAAGATCAGACATGTCATCGCCAGATGAAGCTTCAACATCTGGTCTTGAGTTGACCAAAGCTTTCCAGACCTCGTCATCGTCCATACCATTTTCATCTCTGTCCTCATCAAGATCATCGCCATCATCACCACCTTCTCCTTCATCCTTGCTACTACTCTTCTTCAATTTATTGACTTTAGTAGTGAAATATTGATGAAAAAACCGTTCATCAGCTTTGATATCACCAACTTTCTTGTTCAACCAGTTTTCAGTGTTTGCTGGCGTAGAGCTGTCCAAAACGTTGGTTGATCTAACCAACAACTCTCCCGTATGTGCCCCACCCAATGGCTGCATAATTGAAGAACCTTTGGTTTGAGGCTTTTGCTTTGCATTTTTATAAACAAAACGATCCAAGAAATGTGCCAATGTGTATAAGCCCAAATCCGGTTTGGCTTGTGGAGTTCCATCAATGAATGACGAAGCATAAAGTGCCACAGTTGGATGAAAGTGGTTCAAGAATAAATCAATTTCCCACAAAGAGGATTTATCAGCGTTGGCAAAATTTGGATCACGTTTCTTAGGGTCATAAATATTGGCTTGTTGAACTGAAATTGAGTCTGTCTTATCGGAACCTTCAACTTCCGCAGATGGCTCCTTGTTATTAGCTTCTTCGTCTTCTTCTTCCTGATCTGGTCTTGAATTTGCATCAATCAACAAATCGCCAATTTCAGGCATTGACTTGGCCAATTCCATGAGCAAAAACAACATACCGGCAATAGCACCAACATTCAACCAATGCGCAATAACCTGTAATATCCTCTTTACAAATGCCAATACTCGTGGAATGTTGCCAGAATCGTTCTTTAATGACTTATACAACAAGTTCAAGTAGATTCCCTGTTTTGATGTGGTCACCAACCTCGAGTCAAGCAATGATTCGTACAATGTTCTGTAGTACCTATCTGAGTTTAATTCTTGTTTCGTAATTATGTGATTGATCAAGACCAAAGCTTGTATAGCGGTATTGAAATTGCTGCTATGGGTAATCTTGAACAATGTGTCCAAATGATTTTGAAATACCTCATTCGGCAAATTGCAAAATGGAAATGCACGATTCAACCCAGTCAATAAAGCTGAGAACATCTTTGAGTTCTTTTCCTCCACTATCTCCTGTTGCGATTTTTCCTCCTGCTTGACCGACTTGCCTCCCTTCTTACCCTTTTTGAAATTCTTGCGGTTGTTCTTTCTTCCCCTTTGAGATTCTCCCATTAATTTATCCTTCTCAGGACCGTTTGTGGTTTTTGTAAACGCATTACTTTCAATCAAAACCTTTTCAAATAACGCAAAATACGTCTTGACCAAAGCGTTTGCCAATTCGTCTTCTCTCCTCGTGATGATTGTTTGATTGAGTGTAGTAACTCCATAGTATTTTGAATGGTCATCGGTGGTGCTTTGAAATATTACATCGATTACAGCGTCAGTGACAATCTTTTTCATCGCTGGGTGCGTTTGCTCCAATTGCAAGATCAAATAAGATGCCTTTGCAGATACTTTATTATCAGTGTCACCCAACTTGTTCACACCCAATTTCAACAAATTGACTTCCTGTTCAGGTTTTGACTTGAGCAAGTCAAAAACATGATTCAATGCACTCATCCTAACATGAACAATCGGATCCTGCAAAAGTCTCTCTAAGATTTGAAGCAATTTGAAGTAAGCCTTTTTCAAATGATCTTCAAAGCAGAAAACAGCCAATTGAGCATCAGTCATTAAGGATTCATCTTTAGACAAAGGTTGCTTATCAAATGCAAACAATTTACGATCAGGCAATAGCCCATTAAGTAGTAAATCTTTCAAAGCAGCGATTGATTGTAAGGCAGCTGTTCTAGATTTTTTATCACAGTAGGACAAAAGTGTATCAAGAGCCTTTAGGTTATGCAAGGGAGCCTCCTGCACCAATAGTGTCAAAGCAGATATCTTATCATTCAAAGTACCATCTGACAAGATCTGTGACAAGAACTTCTTCTGTGAAGAATTCGATGCAAACTCTTCCAAGTATGCCTTGTTGTCTTTGTCCAAAGTTTTTTGTCCACGCTCGAGGAGCCTTTCTCGAGCAAACCTATCGAGCTTGGGCAATGCTTCAGCATTGGTAAGTGGGTATATATTGTACCAATCCAACCTGTTTGGAACCGCGAGTTTCCCACTTGAAACCATTGAGAGGTCGGTTATCTCATCAGAATTCTCATCCTTTTTGGCTCCTTTCTTTGAATTATTGAGCTCAGCTTGCTTGACAACTACCTGATCATCGTCATTACTTGTATCATTGGTAGAACCGTCGTGCACCAACTCCGGTACGTTTTCATCTTCCTCCTCTTCCTCCTCCTCATCTTCACTGGAGCTGGAATCTGAAACTGAAGCATCTTCTTCATCAAGGTCAGCCCCCTCCTCTTCGTCTTGTTCAAGACCATCACCAACCTCTTCCTCATCAACGCTCTCGTCATCAACGACAATGGGTTCTCCATTTCCTAGGCCAATATCCTTTATAAATTTGCTCAAATCATTACCAAATTCCTTGTCCAATTTCGAGTCATCATCAAACTCTAGTTCACTTTTCTCGTCGTCACTTTCAATCCCCTGTAGTAACTTTAAATCTTCCTCAGTTGCACCCAAAGCCAACGCTTCCTGACGCAAAATCTCATCAGTATCACGCAGCTTTGTTGTTTCTTTTTTATCTACTGTTGCTGCTTTGCTCTCATTTCCTTTATATCCCTTATTTGACTTCTTCTTTGAGTCTTTAACCTTCGACTCGTTCACCTTCTCCAGCTTTTGATTGGCATCCTTATGCCCCTGGATGGATTCCTTCTTTCCAGGCTTTTGGTTCTTTGAAGATCCCAGCAGGCTCAACTTGGATGTGATCTTGTCTTTCAAGTTTGACAAGTTCAAAATGGAGCTCATATTCCTGAATAGTGGATTCTAATTGGGCTGTCTATTGAATTGAAGGAACTGGCTTCCATGTATTGTGAAATAATTTTTTTTTTTTTCTTTCTTATTAGAGTGAAGTGATGAGGAGGGAAGAGTTGGCTGCTACGTGCAGGATAATGAAGAGAGTTCTTACTATGTGCATTACACTACCAGATATGGAAGTCTATGCCTGAACGCGCATTAAAATTACTCGGGTAGGTTAAGATCCATTGCACAATTCTGATTTTTTTTCTTTTTTTTTTTTCTCTCTCTCTCTCTTTCACTCACTTTGTGTGGTTGCTAAATGTCACCTTTGTTGAGAGAGAAACGACATGTTCTGCTTTTCAACAACGGTATTTTTAACTTGCAACCAGGGTCAACAGGGCAAGACAGCTTGTTTAGTTCTATTCACAAATGACTCCTCCGTACACTAAAAGGTTTACTCCTTGGAGTACAGAACTGACACCAGTTTCCCGATCCTGCAGCCCAAATACAATAGCATCACGAAGTTCGGAGTACAAGCTTTCAAAGACACCGATAGGAGAAGGTTCATACTCGGTGGTTTTCGAATGCAAAAACAAATGCACAGGTAAGCATTATGCTGCCAAAAAATATAACAAGACTCTAACGTATGGTTTGGAGCTGCTACTACAAGGAGAATTTGAGATTTTGAGCCGGATATCAATGTCACATCCACGCATTCTACTGTTGTTTGATTATTTCGAGACATCCAATAGCTTTTATTTTGTGACAGACTTGGCGGAAGGTGGTGACCTATTCAACAAGATAGTTTATGAGTCATCAAATGGGAAGATTGAGCCTGTTATAGCAAAAGACATTGTTGCTCAACTAATATCTGCCGTTTCGTACCTACATTCAAATTCCATAGTTCATCGAGATATCAAACCGGAAAACGTTTTCTTTTCACTGCTGAACTCCAACGAAGTATTGCTTGGAGACTTTGGTTTGGCTAGGGTGTTGCAACCGCAGCAAAAATTACATGACATATCTGGAACATTGAGTTATATGGCTCCTGAAATGTTCAATAGGGAGAAAGGATATGGCTTTCCCGTTGATGTTTGGGCAATAGGAGTATGTGCTTACTTTATGTTGTGTGGGTACTTACCATTTGACTGTGAATCTGACGACGAGACAAAGGATGCTATTATCAATAAAAAGTACTTGTTTGAACCTAGTGACTACTGGAAGGAAATTCCAGAATCAGCCAAAAAGTTTGTACTATCCTGCTTTGAAATTAGCCCCGAGAGAAGACCTACATCGAGAGAGTTGGACAGTTGTAGATTCGTTGATTATAGCACCGCAGAAACAACAGGTAAGGACAATGAAGAGGCAGCCATATTTGCAACACAAAAGGCTGAAATACACAAAATCTTCCAAACCATGCCACAACAATCAAAAAGTAGACAAGAATCGCCCACCATTAACTCCCCAGCAAGCTATCAAGATGTATGGGAAGAAGACGCTGCTGTTGCCAGAGGTGCTTTTTGTATGAGCCCAGATTGTGTTACTCAATTAAATACGCCCATCACGTCCACATGTCCATCTCGAGAACATTCCTGGTTGCAATTGAAAGAACTGAAGGAAGCTTCTAGAAAAGGAAATGGATTACGAGCTGCCGAAGGAAAACAGCGATCCCCAGCTAAGTTTTCCATATAATGGGACACAACACCTGTAATTTTTTCAAAAAAGAGAAAAACAAAAAATCGATTGGTAGCCCCCAAAGAAAAAGCCAAAAGTCTCGCGCATTGTTCATTATAATTTTGTTTACAGAAATAGTAGTCGCATAGTGTGTACATGAAAGAACAGCTAAGCTAATGTCATGTCTTTAAACTATGCATCTAGTTTTAACCACTTGCCCCTATTGAATCAGGATGCATTTGTTCAAAAGCCACGCGAGGAGAAGGATCTCTCTGATTTGTACCCAGACTTGGATGAGTCGCTGCAAATTCCAGTCTTCTTTGTCAACCCTCTGAAGGAAAGAGGTGAAAATGGAGAACATACACATCAGATTGTCAATGGTAACAAGTCTAGCACCTCACTAACTAATGGCCCAATTTCAAATCTCAAGTTACCTGTGTTTAGAAAGATCCAACCAGCAGCTCCCAATCCCAATATCAAATTCAATAAACAACTTCTTGAATATGGGTTTCAAGAACCATCGAGGAATAATGACCGTAATGAACGCGACACTACATATATACGGCAGTTTGAAATACCGACAAGCATAGTCAAGCAAAATGACACCACCAATGAGGAGACGATAATCAAACAGTATTTGAACAAGCGACAGCTACTAGTTGAGTACGACATGGATGAACAAGATATGCTTTATCTACAGGATAGAAATAAGCAAGCGAGCAATGTAATCAAGATCACTCCAGAAGTATTTGAAACCATGATTAGCACGTTGGAGGATGAGTGGAGTAAACTCGAACATCGCATTAATATCTTGACAAATACGGATGCACACAATAGTGGGCTCGGTGCAAGTGACAGAGTTTTGACTATGGGTCATAACAACTCAAAATATGGGAATGATGATGGGATTGTGCCTGGATCCATTTATGACCAAAGATGTGCTGTTTGCAACGATAGTGATTGTGATAATTCCAATGCGATTGTATTTTGTGATGGTTGCGATATTGCTGTGCATCAGGAATGTTATGGCGTGGCTTTCATCCCCGAAGGACAATGGCTATGTCGTAAGTGTATGATTAATAAGAACAACGTCACCCAATGCGTGTTTTGTCCTAGCACAACAGGAGCTTTCAAACAGTTGGATAATAGTTTATGGGGCCATGTGGTATGTGGATTGTGGATTAATGAGTTGTATTTTGCAAACCCCGTTTATATGGAGCCTATTGAAGGAATAGAGTCCATACCCAAGAGCCGATGGAAGTTGACGTGCTATATATGTCGACAAAGAGTTGGTGCTTGTATACAATGTACAAATAGAAGCTGCTTCCAAGCCTATCATGTCACTTGTGCCAAAAGAGCTGGCCTTTACATGGAAATGACACAAGGGTTGAAGGGTGCTTTGACAAATAAACTTACACTCAAATCCTTTTGTGATAAACACACACCACCATCAGACTTGGATAGACTTTCTTCAATTCATGAGGGGATTGAAAAGACAAGGCTATACTATAGGGACACCAAGCTTTTGAATGAACAAAATGCCCAGTTGAGCAATAGCAAGAAAATGGCCAACAAGTTGAACATATTCAAGTGGAAGACGGAATTGAACACCCCCATTGCACCTAAAATCTTTAGTGACAAGTTAGTTGAGTTAATGTACTCATTGAAAGTTGAAAACCAAATCAACTTGCCTGAAGAATCAATGAATCAAGTGTTGGAGTTGAGTGTTTTACCAAATCGTACAAAGGAGGAAATTCATAATGATTTGACTTCAATTGCGAATGAGATTTGTCGATATTGGTGTTTGAAGCGCGAAATGAAGAATGGAGCGCCTTTGGTGCGCAAGAATGACGAGTTCAGTACACTTGTTATGAGTAGTGCTGGTGTTGGTGGTGTAAGCGGTGCTGGTGCTGCTGCTGAAATTTCCACACCGTCGGGGTCGTTGTTGTACGATTATAACAATTTAGAACAAAACGGACCAGATGAATCTAAAATGGATGATAGAATAGAATTTGCCAACGTGTTGAGTAAAGATCTCGAGAAGTTGATCAAAATGAATCAGTTGAATATTCAACGACAAATTTTGGGTAAAGAGGTTGAAAACTTGTCATTGGATATTGCTGACATGTATTATTTCCCCTTGAACCAGGCAATCAAAATATTAGTTGACAAGTTGAATATGAAACTTGATCCAAGTCGGGTAATTTTCCACTACGTTCCCAAGTCTAGCAATGCCACTTTCACGACGAATAGAAGCTTGAAAGAGATTATGGACTGTATTCAGCGCAGTCGGTACGATGGTATACAACAATTCAGATCTGATGTTGAAGATTTGGCAGCTACAATTTGGAAAGAAAACAAGCCAAGTTCCAATGTATATAAGAAGATGAAAGCGTGGAAACGCGAGTTTGATAAAGATATTGACAAACTTGTGAATGGAAGCAAAGCAACAGGAGACGTGAATGAGGTTGTTGTGCAAGCTCCAACCTGTTCAGCCAATGGATTAGACGTTTCAATTGAGAATACAGACAACCACTTGCTACAATCTACCAGCGGGGAAGATGGTGATCACGTGCAAACAAGTTTCGCTAACGCATCTGTTGCTGATTTGCAAGATATTGATATGAGTGATCTTAGCGATGTTGAATATGAGGATGCAAGCGATGCAGAATTGAAAAAGTTTTTGGAATAAACAAAAATAATAAAACGACTTTGCCTTGTTAATTTTGAAGTTGCAACATTTTCTTTAATACGTGGGCTGTTGTTGTTTTATTTTTCGGAGTTCCATCAGTTACATTGGTTGTTGCACAATTGAGGAGAGAAGTAGCGTATATATTGAACAAAAAAATAAAAAATAAAAAATAAAAAATAAAAAAGTAAAAAACCGTTTAATGTGAACGTTTTTTTTAAATTTCTTTTTTTTTTAAAAATTTCTTTTTTTTCTTTCTTTCTTGTGGCTGTGAACGGTTTTGCAAACTTACACAAAGCAATTTATGACATCACTGGTTTCAAAATCTACACAGAAACTATTACTACTACTACTACTACTAGTATTACTTACACATTCTCTGATCATGAAACCACAGTATGACATTCATACATTATACATGCAAACACACATACACCAGTTATATACACCTGTCCTCCATATGCCTCTTACTTCTTAATGATCTTTTTCTCCCTTCAGTTGTTGTTGTTTTTGTTAACCATTGCCAAAAACAATATCTTTGGTTTGTGTGCTGCTCTCTCTCTGCTGTTATAAATAATATGTTTTTATTTTAACTTTGTTAACATATTGTTAAGCAATCATTCTTCCCACTTTGATCAAATATCTGAAACATTAACCTTCCTCCTTTACAATCACACATATCTTTAACCAGAAACTAGTTTCCCTTCAATTCAATAATTTACTCTGCTCCATGGCAAAAGTAACCACATTTCTTTCTGCTCATTGGATTCGGAAGTATAAGCACAATTTAATTACTCCTCCTGTTATCCTCACAAAGGTTCTCGTCATTTGTCACATACAAGGAAAACACAACTTCCCTACAAAACATCATGCCTAGACAACAACAAATAGAAGTGTGCCATGATGACTTGCAGGTAATTACCAAAAAATATGACGCTTGCGTCTTGGGATCGTCCAACGTTGGAAAGTCATCAATGATCTATCGATTTATCCACAATCAATTTATCGAAAATATCGAAGACCAGGATTTGTATACCAAAAATTACATCAACAAACGGGGAAATTGTGACGTTTTGACCATTTATGATTCAGACTTTTCGAATGAAATGTATGCCAAAAGTACACAGTTGTCAATCATCAACGCTTCCTGTCTAATCTTTGCTTATGCTATTGATGATTTAACTTCGTTTAATTCTCTTGAAGATTATTTTCATCACATCAAATTGATCAGAAATGAAATGCCTCCATTTTTCATTGTTGGTTGTAAGTCAGATTTGGAAATGCAGCGACAAGTATCATATAAAGAAGGACTTGAGTTGGCAAATACTTTGGAATCGATGGCATTTGGAGAGTGTTCAGCAAAGGAAAACATTGGAGTATTGGAGCTTTTTGATAAGCTAACCACATTGAAAGCAAGTGAAGCTTCACGTGGGCATCAGTCAAAATCAAAAGGCTCAAACATCACATCGAAAAACCACACTACAAAACAACGCATACAGCCACAAGCTCGCCTTAAAGAGGGTAATCGTAGCAAAATCGATACGCAAGACAGAACCAACCTCAAGACTAAGCGGGCTAACTCTACTTCTGAAAAGACGAGCGGTATATCGAGTAGAGGGGTCGGTGGCAGAGACAACTCCACAAAGGGAGTGGATAGTTGTCTGAAAAACAAGTGTTGTGTAATCACTTGAGTGGTTCTTGCAAGAAAAGAGGTGCTAGTATACGTTGTGCAGCAAGCATCTACACATGTACTTAAGGGAGAAACATCCACCATTTCAGTCTACCCATATCAGTAACGAAGTCACGACATTGATGGTTCAATGCTTTTTTGATGCTTTCATTTCAAATATATACACATATATACCAATTTTTTGGATTGGTTTATACTTTTCTGACTCATTACTTTATCGATAGAGGTTTTACTATTATAGAAACTCACATGTTTGAACACCATTTTGTAATACAGTTCAACTATATTCAGATCAAATCTCCTCGTCTATACACGGAATTAATTGAAAGCTCCGGTAAAGCAATTTAAACTCCATTCGCGCCCATCGAAGTTTGAACATATTTTTTTGGATTTGCTCCCATTTTTACACAAGAGAAACCGAAGAGTAAACGCCGATACTTGACCAGTATTAAAAATTTTTGAAAATAAGCATTTGCTTATGTCTCAGTTGTAGAGAAGCATGTTTCAAGTTGCTTTAGTATGACAATGATGACGTTAAATATACTCAATTTTAGTGGAGCGGGCCCAACTTGTCAAACGCACGCCCAAATGCTATAGCTTTTCTGACATTACATGCAAAGAAAACCATTTTTTACAAAATAGTAATGTATGTTGAAGACTTTGTATATATCAAAATAACTAAAATACTTCTTGTCTGCAGAATGTAAACTGTACAATTCTCTCTTTTTTCTTTTTCTTTTTCTTCCTCCTCCTTTACCGATTCCTAAACGGCGGCTGTTTCAGAGATGTGTGAAAATCCTCTAAACTGTTCTTGCATCTCCGATGTCAATACTGTTTCCACTGGAGTCAACCGTGGTGTTTCCGAGGTAAATTCTTGGTCAAAATTGGAATAATCATGCTCAGAACTGACTTCAGGGATATAAGGGGGTGGGATACGACAATTCAAAACATCATCAAAGTTAACATCTTGGAAATAAGGATGTTCCATAATCTCTTCTGCATCTCGTTCACTGCTTCCCAAACGCAGTTGAGGATCTTTGGTTAATAACGCTTGCAAAACGAGGACTGTCTGACGCGACAAACTGACGGGGTACTTTACTTCGTCATGTTCAATGGCATTGAAAATATCATCTTCATCATCACCTTTGAATGGAGATTGACAAAGCAACATTTGAAACAACAACACCCCAAATGCCCACCAATCCACACTTCGCGTATAATTCTTTCCAGCAACAATCTCAGGAGCCATGAATTCAGGAGTTCCGCAAAATGTGGACGTTGTATTTCCATGCCACATGTTTTCCTTACACAACCCATAATCACCAATCTTGATATGTCCCTTTGTGGTCAACAAGATATTGTCCAATTTCAAATCACGATAAACAATGCCATTATCATGGAAATACTTCAACCCCAACAATACCTCACATGCATAAAATTTAGCCCTCTTGGCGGAAAATCGATTCTTTTGTATATGCCACATCAAATCTCCACCAGATATATACTCCATGACAAAGTATATCCTATTTTCCGTTTGGAAACAACAATGCAAATTCAACAAGAATGGGTGCATTTCCTTATTTGCCGTTAAAAACACCCGCTTCTCAGATCTTACACTTTCAGCCTCATCGTTTTCAACAATGAAGTCCTTCTTTAGAACTTTTATAGCACACAAGTTAGACGTATGTCTCGATTCAGCCAACATCACTTTACCGAAATTACCTTTACCCAAAACAGCAAGAAATTGGAAATCATCCAATCCAACTTTTCTCTTGCGACGCTTGGGTTTTCCAGACGAAGATTTACCTGAATGCGTAGTAGCTGAAGATTGTCCACGATGATGTTGATGATGCTTATGATGCGGCTTGTTCACCTTGTACTCTTCGTCACTCTTCACAGGTATCGATGGGCGGTCCAATGTTTCAATTTTGCTCTGTACCTCATTGGACAATGGCTGCGCTTTTTGATCCAAAAAGGGGCTCACAATCACGTCATCTTTAGCTTCTGGTGAAATTATCTGATTCTCCGTCAATTGATTCTTGTAATCAAAGTCAACAAACTCATCATCTATACTAGCGGTTCTATCATCATTGGCAATGAAAGACGTTTCTGTCACCACAACATAATCACCAGCATCGTTTAGCGCATGCTCTGCATCAAAACGAGTGTCTGCGCCGCGCATTTCCTCTCCATATGGATGACGGTAATGATGCTCATTCGTCGCAACTTTTCCTTGCTTCTCAGGAACTGGTGGGCGACGTCTGGCAGCGCGTGCATGAGACGTACCATCCACTGGGGTCTGATACGATTTCTGGGTTGTTGTTGGAAGTTTCGCGTTGAATTCATGGTCGTCTTGCTCGTCCTCTGTCAAGTTGCGTAATGTTTCAACAGATTCTCCAGAAGATTTATCCAGGGTAGATGGTCTAGGTGGTGGCAAGGGCTTCTCAAGCTGTTGGCGTCGTTGTTGTTGTTTCTGCTGCTGCTGCTGCTGCTGTTGATTTAGTTCCTCGTGTTGTTGTTGCGCACTTTGTGGAATCTGATGATAGCTTTGATCCAAATAGTTAGGTTTCGTTTTCAAATCCAGAACAGTCACCTTCTCTTGAATTTGCTTAAGCTTCTTTGGAGAAACTTTAGTGGATTTGATCGTTGCAAGAATTTCGTTAGCCATTTGCAAGGACATTCCACACAAATCGGGAACCAAGTGAGTACACTGCGCATGACACATAATTCCACACTCCGAACATTTTCTTGCACTCTTTTTACCCCAGGGCAATAAGTAGCCACAGTGGCAACACCATTTGGTCCCATGGTTTGTAACTGGCTCGAATCTGTGGGGAATACGATGCTTCAATTGAGCCGCATCGTGATCTGAACCAGATTTTGAAATACATTTGGTAACAACTTTTTGATAACACTTTTTATGGCACAAGAATTTACAGTCTTGACATTGGAACCCAGTATAACGCAAGAATTCCCCACAAAGGGCACAGCACATGATGTTGTAAAATTGCTTTTGCACAAATTGGTGACCATGCTGTTCATACACTTCCTCTTTCCTTTGACGAATAGCTCCATGCCTTCCAAGGGGCCCTTTAAATTGCTTACCTTGAGATATAGACTTCTCAAAGTTTATATTAATCAACATTTGACCACAAGGCTCCAAACTCAACCAAGTGTTTAGAGACACTTTTTGTGGTGAGTCTCCTCCAGTGTTATCAGGCTTATTGGGTGATCTTGGCGGCGCAATGTCATTTTGCGGGATATTCAGTGAAGTATCAGGACCACCCCAACTCGAAGCCCCGTTTTGGCCATCACCGCCATTTGTCTGGGGCAAATTGCTAGCAGGCAACCAGCCACTGGCACCTTGATCTTTTGCAACCTTCTTTTTACGAATCTCTTCGGCAACGTCAAATAAAGAAAGCCAATTCACAGCAACGGGAACATAAACGCCTCCCAGTTTGTCCATCACTGTCAATTCAATTTCATGCCCCTTCTCGACATTAATATAAAGTTCCTCGGACCAGTTGTCATTCTTTGACGGCTTTGTTCTTGCTCTTTCAACGTCATCTATTTTAACAGTCACAACCGTGTCTCTTTTCTTGAAAGTAGCCGTGGCCATGTGATCCACGTCTCTAACGCACGAGACGGATATTGTCAATTTACCACTCAACGGCTTTCTAGCGTGTTTCGGAGTATCCATGATTTCGTAGTCCCTGTTGAAATCTTCGGAGTTTATGTTAAAGTTTTGATACTTCTTCAACGCTCTCTCCAAAAGTTGTATTCTTTGATCACTCTCGGCACGGCCCCCCTCAGCCGCATTACTGGAAGACCTATCTCCATCCATAAGATAGAGATGGGAGATCTTCTTGTTTGCTTCGGCATATTGGTTCTCCACCTGAAGCTTGAATTGTAGTTGCTGAATCATGTGTTGAATTTTATGACCTAATGATGGACACTCGTATTTGATTAAGTCCAACCTGGAATAGGTTGGTTTATATTCCGAAATGGTGGAGCTTCTATCTTCCGCGCTTTTCACATTCATCCTTTGCATTTGTCGAGTAAGCTTACTAATGGAATCCTGGTAGTAGTCAATCAACGTCTGTGATTCAACAATTTTGGATTTACATTTCTGAACGACCTCGGCATTTGATGAACTTCTCTTGACATCTTGGTACCCCTGAATAATCTTTTGCTCGATCTCTATCTTACTCTTAATATCTTTAATCACCTCTTCTGGGTTCTGATTTTGTCCCTGGTGTGACATGACGGTAACGTTGTAGATTGCCTTCGAATATGTAAAAAAAAAAAAAAAAAAAGGTAAACAAATGTGACCTTATTGTTGGATCAAAGCAAAAAGAAAAAAAAAAAAAAGGACGAAAGGGGTGTGTGTGTGTGTGTGTGTGGGTGTGGAGTGAGAAAGGGTCTTGAAGTTCTCTAAGTCCGACCTTAGTATTTAATGTGCAAGGGCTGTCGAGAAGGTAGTGATGTAGTGTCTCCGCCTTCAGGTTTCGAATTAACTTGTGGTGTAAAATAGTACAGTACAGAACAGTACAGTGGAGCGTTGTCCAAAAGGAGTAATTGTTGAAAATATCAAATAACACAAGAATTACAAAAAAAAAAAAAAAAAAAAAAAAAAAATTTTTTTTTTTGTTTTTT